ACCCTCACAACGTAGAATTCTCCTTTCTGCGTTGCCAAAGAAAAGGGGCAGAACACCTTTTGCAGAGAACATATACCATTAATACAGTTATTTTATAGCATTGCTGGGAGTTGTACTTAAACTAACTATATAAAATTATACGCCAATTTAAAGGTATTTTTATGGTCTTTCTGATAAACATATTTGTTAATATAATTAATTAAGTATTTTTTTACGAAAAACATACATACATAATAAAAAAAATTGCCATAATTTCGTTTTTTTACTTTTTCTCAAAATTTGTTTGCATTATATACATAGATATATATACTGAATGAAAGGTTCTTCAATTACCTTTCCAACTGTGTCCATATATTGAAAATCGGTTCAATAGTTTTCAAAATATACGCTTTTGAAAATGTTGGAAATTCCACGTTTAGCCCCCCCTAGCGCCGCCCTGCCAATTTGCACAAACAAAAAGTTTACCATTAAACTCAGCAGAAAGGGGTGCACCACGTCCACGTTTTCTTTTTTCTCTAGCCAAGGGTCGGTATTCCTCAGGTATGCCAAAAATATAGTACGAAATGTTATGTCGCTCCGCTGGGTATTCCGCACTATGCGGCACCGGAACTGCGCGACATCACGCGACGCAACATTTTTGCCTAGTTGGTCAACTTTCCCGCGCAGCGTCGCATCGCGTAGCTCCGCTGCAGCGTAGTGCGGTATGCTCCATAAGAATCCATGCAAAGAATATTTTGCCGCGCTTTGTAGTGTCGTGTCGCGTCGCCTAGTGCGGTCGTACCTTTAAACTTTTAGTTTTTATAAAATGTATAATTTATTGATAGATTCAAATAAATAATGATATCGAAACTTGTTGCTTACGTATATATTTCATTTTTACATACGGTGAATTTTGAGTCTTCACATGCATGATACAAAAAAAGAAGGTAGTTTCATTTAATGACATTCGTTGTTGTTGTTACATTTCATCAAATTAATGTACCTGATCACTAGAAATATATTTTTTTTTTAACCAGAAGATTTTATCAGTACATTGAACGACGTGGAATATGATGAACTAGAAAATTATGCCGGTTACATGATTTCGAAAATAAGGTTGACGACTAGGTTTCAGAAAGCATGAAGAAAGTGTATGCTTACATATCGTCGCTTAAAGTACAAAACCGCGTATCGTCGATCTGCAAAACCGCGTAATTGACATTTTTTGCCAAAAATTGGATTTGCTCACACAAGCTCTTGGCTCAAGCCTTATCCATTCGTCCTGAAATGCGATTTCTTTGTAAAAAAAAGAGAACCATTTTGAAATACTCTTAATTACTCTCTACAAAACAATTTATGCAACCTCACATACGCAGTTGGGCATTTTGTTGATGCAGGGTTTTATACTTTAAACGACGATCTGTTAGTTGTTTATCGGAGGGTGATCTCTTCAAGCCGACTTCAGGTATTTTGCATAAATTAAGAAATTGTGAAATTTAATGATAATGCGCTAATCACAAAGCCTAATTTTTTGCAAAATTTTATGAGAAATTTAAAAGTAAATTTGAACCGAAATATAAAAAGGTTTTATTTGGGAAGAACATTCTTTAGAATTCGATTTTTAAATCGTAAGATTGCATTCAAAATAAGAAAACAAAAAAATATCAGAATAAANGCTTTTGAAAATGTTGGAAATTCCACGTTTAGCCCCCCCTAGCGCCGCCCTGCCAATTTGCACAAACAAAAAGTTTACCATTAAACTCAGCAGAAAGGGGTGCACCACGTCCACGTTTTCTTTTTTCTCTAGCCAAGGGTCGGTATTCCTCAGGTATGCCAAAAATATAGTACGAAATGTTATGTCGCTCCGCTGGGTATTCCGCACTATGCGGCACCGGAACTGCGCGACATCACGCGACGCAACATTTTTGCCTAGTTGGTCAACTTTCCCGCGCAGCGTCGCATCGCGTAGCTCCGCTGCAGCGTAGTGCGGTATGCTCCATAAGAATCCATGCAAAGAATATTTTGCCGCGCTTTGTAGTGTCGTGTCGCGTCGCCTAGTGCGGTCGTACCTTTAAACTTTTAGTTTTTATAAAATGTATAATTTATTGATAGATTCAAATAAATAATGATATCGAAACTTGTTGCTTACGTATATATTTCATTTTTACATACGGTGAATTTTGAGTCTTCACATGCATGATACAAAAAAAGAAGGTAGTTTCATTTAATGACATTCGTTGTTGTTGTTACATTTCATCAAATTAATGTACCTGATCACTAGAAATATATTTTTTTTTTAACCAGAAGATTTTATCAGTACATTGAACGACGTGGAATATGATGAACTAGAAAATTATGCCGGTTACATGATTTCGAAAATAAGGTTGACGACTAGGTTTCAGAAAGCATGAAGAAAGTGTATGCTTACATATCGTCGCTTAAAGTACAAAACCGCGTATCGTCGATCTGCAAAACCGCGTAATTGACATTTTTTGCCAAAAATTGGATTTGCTCACACAAGCTCTTGGCTCAAGCCTTATCCATTCGTCCTGAAATGCGATTTCTTTGTAAAAAAAAGAGAACCATTTTGAAATACTCTTAATTACTCTCTACAAAACAATTTATGCAACCTCACATACGCAGTTGGGCATTTTGTTGATGCAGGGTTTTATACTTTAAACGACGATCTGTTAGTTGTTTATCGGAGGGTGATCTCTTCAAGCCGACTTCAGGTATTTTGCATAAATTAAGAAATTGTGAAATTTAATGATAATGCGCTAATCACAAAGCCTAATTTTTTGCAAAATTTTATGAGAAATTTAAAAGTAAATTTGAACCGAAATATAAAAAGGTTTTATTTGGGAAGAACATTCTTTAGAATTCGATTTTTAAATCGTAAGATTGCATTCAAAATAAGAAAACAAAAAAATATCAGAATAAAGCGCGCGTGGTTTTTATTACAAAATGAAAAGAACAATTACGATGAAGTCTCCTTTAACAGTATACATTTTAAATATTTTTAATAAAAAAAGGTGCGAACCACGTAAGTAAAAAAAGTACCAAACACTGATAATGGTTTTTGATTTGAAATGTTATTACATTGGTATAAATATGGGAAAGAAAATATTCCGATTTATTGTTTTAATATAATCAAAGTGGCAAGGCCGTTGATAATTCTCACAATTTATGAAACTTCAAAAAATTTTATTATCCGTCAAAAGTTGTTTATTGAAACTACCTTCCTTTTTGTATCATGTTCACATGGACAAAATAACAAAATCACAATCAAAGGAGGAATAAAAAATGAAGTTTTCGAGCGTTTTTTACATCAGGCAAAGAATGAAAGTAAACAAAAACAAAAAAGTGTGGTGATGATGGAGTGCGATTATTATTGGTGTTTATTAATAAGTAAAATTAGATGAAAATTAAGAAAAAGTCTTCATAAAACATGGTTTTCGTGACAGAGTGTCTTAAAATCGCGCAGCAATAGCACGACTCGATTTTCAATTTGTTTGCCAGAAAAGTGCACCAGCTTTTTAAGCAAATTTACGTCTCTTGGGAGACCAAACAAACAAACGGATTCGTCTGAATCACTTTATTTCATGAATTTGTAATAAACTAAAACTATAATTAAATTTTCTGAGAAAACACTTCGAATCACTTAAAAAAATCACCGCGGATATATAGAAGACAATTTAAACAAAACGAAAGAACGTCAAAAACGCTCCAGCAAACTTTTCTCAGATTTCATTACAAGTTTAACGATGGCTGATTACCCGATCTTAAGAAGTTGGTTCATGAGGGCTATTCGCGATTCGGTGCATAAGAGCTGACAAATTTATGCAATTGCAGAAATATGCCATGGATTGTGAGCGACCTTTATTAAACTGTCGGGGTAAAGCTTTTGCAAAACAATTTTTGTGCATCAGCTTTGGTTTTGTTTATGAATGCAATGCATAGCATTTTTATGCTATGGATTTTAGGTATTGCAAATTTGGCAAGCCATGACAAATGCAAATGCGGGTATTTTGTTTGTGTATTGCAAATAATTTGCAATACAAATTTGCAATGCAATGATGCTAGGCCATTTGCACCGGATCGCGAATAGCCCTATGGAGTCTTCAGATACAGGTGAAAATTGACATGTGTTCAGATCATTTGATTGTATGACTTGATCTGAAGTTTCGGGATCAACAAGACAGGTATCGTTAGCTTCGGGATCAACAACTTTAGAATCATAACCGGTATCATTATCTTTGGGATCGTTGCCATCATTGATTTCATTGTTATTGCCGTTTTGTTTGCACTTTTTTATAAGAAATACCTGTTGGACGCAATTTCGGAGCCCAATTCCGTTTGCCACATAGTGCATGTCTGTTCCGCATTTTAGACTCAAACGCCTTTTGAATACATGATTCTGGACACTCTTCATTAGATACTTCTCGAATCAAATTGATAATAGCAGCCAAAACATTCTCGTATTTTATCATACCAAATTTCTTTACATCTTTTTCCTTCGAACCGCCTTTCCACGAGCAATCCACCCAAAAAGTTTTAGCAAACATCTTGTTCAAAACTTCATGCACACACTTAGCGCTTCAGTTTTTGGTCGTCTACCGCCAATAATTTTGTTGAAGTGATTTTTGAATGTATTGACCATTCCTTCGTTTTCCAATAGTCTCAAGTGTTTTAACCTCAGCTTCAGATGCGATATTGACGAAGTGATAACTTATTGTTTCTTCGAAATTTTTGCTGGTTGATGGGTTTTCGTCATCTATTTTCTAAATTTTTTCACCCGCTTTTGCTTTTCTCATAGCTTCAACCTCCGATTCTAGTTTCAAAACCGATTTAGCGACTGAGTTAAATCAACTAATTATAGTTATTTGGTTTGAAAGAATTTTCTGGAAATACGACGTCAATATTTGGAACTTCTGTCCATTCGGAGCTTCAGAATTCGATTCTGAAACCGTTAAATAAATAAACTCGTCTGTGTTTATTCCATCAAGGTTAATTTCATCTGTATTCATTTCACCTGTATTTGCTTGTCCTGAAAATCCATCTGAATTTTCCACTTCAAGAAATTGGCATGCGTATGGTGTACTTGGGACGAATGGAGTAATCGGTGTGTTTCCTCCACACTGTCACCATTATTATAATGGCAGGGCTGCGCACCTTTAACCGGGGAGTTGGAAAATTTTTCCTAAAAAAATTAGAACTTAATTTAAATAAAATAATTTCTGACGTTGGTTACTTTACCTGCAAAACTTCTGGGACCGTAATGTGAGCATATTCAAGCGCATAAATTTTTTGTTTTGTTCTCTGACGTGTCATATTATTGTTTTGGAGAATCTCGTCGTCATCATCAGCATGGTCAGTATCACTCACATCCTGCATTCGATCGAGTTCCATACATGCATCGGAAAATGTAGCGATACCTTCTCTTTTGCGTACTGGGTTCGTAATAACAACATTATGCATTTCTCGTGGAGAATTCAGGTTTATAATTTTAGTTTTCAAGTCAATATCGTTTTTGGATTGAATGATGAAAATTAACTGAAAATATGTTTTTCATCTTACCGCTTTTCGGCCAGTATGTTGTTCCACTTCTGGAACCGCCGTTTTTGGGAATTTCCCAGTCTTCTGGTACAGCTTCAATTCCAAGACGTCCATTTTTACGAAATTGGACAATTATAAAAGATCTTCTACGACTAATTTTTATAAAAACTTTAACAAGCGTTAACGACCGTTTGATTGAAAACTCAAAACGAGCCAAAAGTCTTCACTTTCAACGAAATGTCGTTTTGTACATCAAAAACTTTGCACAAAGATAAACGTAGAGAGAAACAAAAATAAAATACTCTATTCAATGCTCTTCATGTAGTCTTTTTTCTACTGGAAAATTTTGTATTTGAGTGTTACCTCAGTCGAAGAGGAAATACTATAATAAATGCTCTACACGTGAAAATTTATGATTTGAGGTTTTCGCATGAACTTTCGTTATTCAAAGAGGAAATACTTTTTACGAGACTCTTTACGTAGACATTTTTGGATTTGTACGTTTAGGATTTCAGTGTTTTGTATGATTTCTCTTTGTTTAAAAAGGAAATACTCTATTCCATGCTATTCACGTCAATGATGCCAGATTGTTGGAGTAAGATTATAAATAAAAAAAATTATAATTATTCTCACATTATGAATATTCATATCGTTGCCCTAATATAGAAGGACCCCAATTGGTTTGTATATAATTACAGAACCTTTATTAAAACTAAAGTTCGTAAGTTATGAATTTCTTCAAAATCCTGGGGTTTAAGAAACATTGAAACTAATTAATTGATGTAGAAGATGTGAGAAAGAAAATGAGTTCAATATATATATGTATATATACTACTACTGAAATATATGTTTCGAATACTTTGCGAATTTTGTGGGGTTACCTTATTAAAGATGTGAGTAATTGGGGTATTTTTTCGGATGTAGCTAATTTAACACAGAATGTGGGGCATCACTAAGTTACGTAGTCTTTTTCTAAGAATTGTAAATGTACGTTTTGGGCGTTTTGTTTGACTTTTCTCTATTCTAAGAGAAAATACTCAATTCATGGCTCTTCAAGTAGACATTTTAGGATCTGAAAATTTAGGATTTTTGTGATTTGTATAAATTTGTTCAATTCATAAAGGAATCAGTATGTTCAAGCTCTCCTCCTAACCTATTTGGGATGTTATGTGAAGTGGCCTTTCCACTTCCATTAAAAATTATATTGGTAGCATACCTTTGCGCTTGCAACTGTGGAGCCCTGGTGCTCCGCCGGCGCGGCTGCCGGCCAACGCTCCATTCCAAGGAGCCCTAGCGCTCCCACGGCGGGCAGTGCTGCTGCTTGCTTCTCGCGGAGCCCTGGTGCTCCGCCGGCGCTGATGCCGGCCAACGCCTGCTTGGGAATGCTGGCTACGCACAAATATGTGCTGGTGCCCCTGCTGGCTATGCGACTTACCAGTCGGTTGGGCGATAGTTGGCTGCTCAATTAAAGATAAAATTAAAACTTTACTTTGCGGTTTCAAGGTACGCGGGCGAATGCCGCCAATTTATTTTTTCACTTTTGACATAAGCCTAGCAGCTGTCTTACATAGAACAGTGTTGCATTTTTAATATCGTAAATTATTGTATTAGATTAGCTTTAAGGTGTGTTCATACAAGGTGATTTATAGGGTTGCAAATTGTATGCTTTTATCGCATTACATCACCCTCGTTTGGGAAAAGAAGAAGAAGAGAATTTTGCCATATTCTTCTTGCCCAAAATTTGTACCCAGAATTAAATTGTTTTTAAGGAACGAATTTGGAATGCTTAAGGAATATTCACCCCCCTTTACATTCGTTCGTTCATAACAATTTAACTTAAGCTAAATATTCAATCAAAAGCTATATTTACTTAGTTATTATTACTAATTTTAGTTATTTATAATTATTTAATTGGCAAACTATTCTTGTAGTATAAAGATAAGTATAATATTTTGTAGGTAGCTTATGATAATTAACTATGACTTAAGAGTCTATTTAATTTAAATTTACATAAGTATATTTTTAATTGCCTAGGGAAAAATGGAAATTCGAGTTTCTTTTTTTTTATAGTGTTTGTACAAAAATGTTTAAAGTTTGATTTTAAGAATTCATGAAAAATGCTTTTTGTTTTAATAAATTCGTTTCATATTTTGTAAAAACAATTCTTATATTACAATTTGTAGAAAAATATGTTATAAATACTTATATTTTTCCTTGAGCTAGTTTTCATATTGAAAATTTGTACATTTCTGATTATTTTGTTGTTTTGTACATTTTTATTTTTGTTTATAAGGTAATAAAGTGGAATTAAAATTAATTATACATACGTATATATATAAAAAAATTGTTTAATTTAATTTTATGAATTCTATTTTTATGTACTGTTTTTTCTTTGTTTTTTGCTTCATCAAAAATTGTGACGTTTACACCGTCAATTTTTGTTATAACGTATGGCCCTTGGTATATGTTTTCATGCTTATTGCGAGGTTCTTTTTGAACAATAACCCTGTCGTTAACGCTAATTGATAACGGACGCGCCGTTTTATCATATATTAGTTTGTTTCGAATTTTGTGTTTATTAATTAATTCTTTAACGATTTTGTGCGACTTTTGCATTCGATATTTAACTTCTTTCGCGTAATTTTCTACATTATAAATCGGGTAAATTTTATCTTTTTTCAAATCTTGGGGCACTGTTGCCAAATATTAATTCGGTGCCTAAGTCTGATTTAATGGAATTCATTACACCGTAAGTTAAGACAAAACTTTCGAAAATAGCAGAGGCAATCGTTTTAGCGCTTTTGTCTGGCACAGCTACTGTTACCAAATACTTTGTTAAATCGCATATAATGGTAATTGCGAACCTATTACCATTATTTGACTCTGGTAGGGGTCCTAATGTGTCGATTACAATAATATCAAATGGTTTGCAAGGTGTTGGCGTTAATACAAGATTTTCCTTGTTTTTAGGTTTAACCTTGTTTAATAAACATTTTGAACAATTTTTAACAAACTTGGATATATCACGGGTCATATTTTTCCAGTGATACTTTGTACGTAATTTTGCATAAAGTTTTTTAATTCCGCAGTGTCCGCCTGTTATGGGGTCATTATGGTAAATGGTCATTAACTTTAACTTTTATCATCGTCAGTTACTGCTTCTACCGGTTCTGTTAATACGATTTGTAAAAATTTTTAAATATTATTACCGCTGGTTTTCAAATTAGAAATAGAGAAATTATTGAAAAATATATCATCTTTTTGCCACTCTACTTTCTTAATGTTGCGATTGCCGGCTTCATTATCCAGCCTCAAAAGTAACTCGTCTAAACAAGTTGTTTCGTTAACCTTCGCAAAATTGAGTAATTCTTGTTTCTTGTGTTTTAAATGTGCACATATTTGAATATTTGAAATTTTGTTATCTTTATCGTAGCGAAAATGCGTTACTATTCGCGGAATATTTTTAGAAAAATTGTATGAAAATTTATCGTAAACTTGTACTGTACGGTTGTCCGTGTAATTGTTTTCGTTTTGTAATTCTATTGTTTTTGTCATTGATCGCGTTTTCATAGCTAAAACATGTTTTGTAGAGTCTTTTAGTTCGTTAATGGTAATGCGTGAAAGTGCGTCTGCTACAACGTTTGATATGCCTTTTATGTACTCAATAGTGAAGTCGTATTCTGACAGTTCTAGGCAAATTCTAACAAGTTTTGAAGATGGGTCCTTCATGTTAAAAAGATAAACTAAGGGTCGATGGTCAGACTTCACCTTAAAGTGAGTGCCGTAAACATAAGGTCGAAACTGCTTAATAGCAAAATATATAGCTAAAAGTTCTTGTTCTGTAATAGGTTTATTTTGTTCTGCTTTGTTAAAAGATTTAGAAGCGAAGCATACNTTAATCGCGAAATATATAGCTAAAAGTTCAAGTTCTATGATTGGTTTATTTTGTTCTGCTTTGTTAAAAGATTTAGAAGCGAAACATATTGGTAAGTCGTTGCCATTATGATTTTGGCTTAATATAGCACCGCACCCGTTTTTAGAAGCATCCACAGTTATTAAAAATTCTTTAGTAAAATCAGGATATTGCAAAAGTTTAGGAGACATTAGGGCTGATTTTAAGTGTTGAAATGCAGTTTCAAAAGCGTTGTCCCATAAGAATTCGAAATTTTTTCGACTCAGTCTATTCAAAGGTGCTGCCAGCGACGCAAAGTTAGGTATGAAGCGTCTATAATAATTTGCAAACGCAACGAATCGACGAACAGCGTCTTTATCTGAAGGTTTTGTATACTTTTTTATTGCGTTAATTTTTGAATCGTCTGGCAGCAGTCCCTTTTCTGAGCACTTGTGCCCTAAAAATGTTACCTCAGCACGAAGAAAATTGCATTTTGTTGGGTTTAAAACGCTTGATTTGGAGAAATGCCTGAAAAGGCTATTGACATCATTCGAGAAAAAGAATTCGGTGCTACGTTTAAACCGAATGGTAAAACTTTCCAGTGAAAAGCTCCCTTGTCAGTGCTGAAAGATGTTATATATCGCGAGTTTTTATGCAATGGAATTTGATGGAAACCAGAAAATAGATCTAAAGTCGAAAAGTATTTTGCTCGACCAAGGTTCTCCAATAGTCGTCCACACGTGCTAGTGGAAATTTGTCAGCGATAAGCTTTTTATTAACCGCTCTGAAGTCAACGCACATGCGTTACGATTTTTGGCCGGATGGATCTTTTTTTGGTACTAAAATTAATGGACTGTTATAATTAGAGGAGCTTGGTTCGATTAAATCATTTCGCAGTAAAGTATCGACTTGTCTATTTATTTCTTCGCGTTGTGAGTACGGCAAACGAT